GTACATTCGTGAAAGACAAAATCGATCCTACTCATGGTGCTTGTGCAGCAGCAGCAGATTGTTTATCAGATAAAGCTTCCCTTCTTAAGAACGTGAGAACGGGTCTCATAGATCCGGATACTCCAGACTCCGTCAAGAGCAAGACCGCTCAAGATGGCACCAAATTGAAGCTTGTGGTATGGTTTCTTGCATCATGGAGTTTTGTACAATGCTAAATGATCTTAGTTTTCCGACGAATTCAATACCGATGGACGAACTTTCTACGATGGCGATGACCCATTCTTTCAAGCCGTGGATATTTGGTATGGTGCTACTCAGGATTTGGAATGGTACGATCCCGATGCTGTAACGACCGGAAACGGCACTTTGAACATCAAATTCGACGCTTTCCAAAGTCACAACTTGAATTATCGCTCTGGGATGGTCCAATCGTGGAATAAGTTGTGCTTTAAGGGTGGTCGTTTGGAAGCTAGTATTTCATTACCTGGCCGAGGAGATTGGCCCGGTTTCTGGCCCGGTTTCTGGAGTATGGGCAATTTGGGACGACCCGGTTACCTAGCTACCACAGAGGGAATGTGGCCCTACAGTTATTGGGATGAATGCGATTACGGAATCACGGCAAATCAAAGTTCATCGGACGGTATTAGTTGGTTACCCGGTATGAAGTTGCCGTCTTGTACGTGTGACGGCCAAACGCATCCTTCAAAAGGCAAATCTCGATCAGCACCTGAAATTGATGCATTAGAAGCCACTATTGCATTCATGACGGAGAACTGGGGAACAGCTACGGGTTCCGCATCTCAGTCTTACCAGATTGCCCCATTCGACATATTCTACATGCCAGATTACAACTATGTTGAGGTTTATGACAACGAACAGACTTCTGTGAACAACTACCGAGGTGGAAGTTATCAACAAGCTATGTCTTCAGTGACTTGGCTGAACAATGATTGGTATGATGGCAACGGATATCAAACGTATGGATTTGAATATACTCCTGGATCCGAGGGAGAGGTGACATGGTTCGTTGGTGATCAGTACACTTGGAAAATGGATGCCCGTGCATTGAAGCCAAATGGAAACATTGGCCAAAGAACGATGCCGCAGGAGCCTATGGCTGTCATCATGAATTTGGGAATGGGTACCAGTTTCTCCCAAGTCATGATGCCTAATTTGAACACCCTATTCCCCGCTACCATGCGTTTTGATTACATCCGGATATATCAAGAAGAAGGGTCCGAATCGATCACTTGTGACCCTGAAGGATACCCAACCACCGAATACATCAAAAAGTTCCCAAAGGCATATGTAAGTTTATTCATCCCTTCTTCATTCGCTCAAAGTACCATGCTAATTGATTTAGCAAAATCAAAACCATACGTCTTGGTCAGACGCTGGTTACTCGTGGCCTACAAATCAATTTGTCGACAAGTGCTCTTAATTTCTTTCACAAACTTTTTGTATAAAGGACGTACTTTGCTTTGCAAAAGCGCAAAAGCGAATCATATACCCCTCGAGACGTGGCACGAATATTCACGCGCCAAAGGACATATAGACGGCGGTCGGACATGGCGGCGCCTGGCGATTTCGATTCATCTTTTCTTTAACCGAATATTACAAAAGAGCGCGCGTTTCTGTTATTAATCTTGTTTTCTTCGCCTCCAAATACACAATTGCATAGCGGCGTCGGCGTTTCATACTTTTCAGCATCAAGCACGTTTATTGATTTGCCTTTCTAGCTTCACGCCAACTGTTGTTAGTTATGTTCAAAGTGCATCTTGAAGCCTTTGTGCTATCGCTGTTGTACAAAAATACCACTGGTTCATAGTCTACACGTTTTTAGTTTTCGGTTCAAGTTTTTGAGTTGATAGATGGAGTGACCTTCACAACTCGATTATTGTGTTTAATTTAGAAAGAGAGATAACGGAGCTCTGGATGGGTATCCTTACCGAGAAAAAAAAAATAGGCAGGGGGAGCCGGGGAGTGGAAGTGAGGATAAATGACTGGATGGATGGACTTTATTGACTAACTGACTTAACTGATTGGATTGGATCAATTGATTTGGCTCGGCTGGCTTGGTCTCTGGTTTTGATGTTGTATTTGATTGGATTTCGCAATGCGGGTGGGATCCTTTGATCGACTTTGATATGATTATTTTGGAATGACTGGGCTGAAGTTAAATGGATGGGTGTTTAAGAGAAACTCGGAAGAGAGATGGATGTTGGGGTTAAGAGTTTGTGAGGCAATGAGCGAATTTGAGGAGCTAGGAGTGGAAACCTTCAGAGGGTGTACCTATATACCAATACCGATACCAAACGTCACGATAGTAAAGAGACTTCAACAATATTTCACTGGGCCCCTTCGCGTGTCTTTGATGTTTTATAATGTTTCAACTACCACACTCCAGCTGTTACTTATTGATTGCAATAATCAGACTGTGGAAAGTCAAGACAGGCAGACGATGAACATAAAAGACACAGAAACACGGGCTATATATACAATGGCCGCAATTTCACTCTCCAACTTCATAGTATAATACATAAACGATACACAGGACCAATCGTACTAATTTACCTGTAAAAAGACTTCTCCAAGGCTTCATGAGATTTAGAAAACCCAAGAATTCAGATCACGTGTAGCCAAGGGTCTCGATTATTGATGCCAAGACTCGCTGGGGCAAATATTCAGAACTTTTTTTTTCAATTAAACGCTAAGCCACTTTTGGGACACTAAGATTATTCTAACCGAGAAATCGCACACTCTCAATATTCGTGAACTTTTCTCGTTGAAATTCTTCTGAACTTTTGAACCTCAACACCTAAAGAAGTCGACCACCGCCAACATGTCGCACCGTAAATTCGAAGCTCCCCGTCACGGATCCCTTGCTTATCTCCCAAGAAAGAGAGCAAGCCGTCACCGCGGAAAGGTCAAGAGGTGAAGCATTTACCCCAATTTTCATTCTTTGCGACTTTTGAGGATTCTACGAATTATCAACATCCGTTTGCAAATTTAATTCTTGAGGGAAGATCACATTTACTAACTTCTCAATTGCAAACAGTTTCCCCAAGGATGATAAGACCAAGCCAGTCCACCTTACTGCCACTCTTGGTTATAAGGCTGGTATGACTACCATTGTCCGCGACCTCGACCGTCCTGGTGCGAAGACACACAAGAAGGAGGTCGTTGAGGCAGTGACTGTCATTGAAACACCACCGGTACGAGCAACGCAGCCCGCTTGGCTTAAGCCAATGGCTAATATCTTTTTAGGTTATCGTTGTTGGTCTAGTGGGTTACATTGAGACTCCTCGTGGTCTCAGATCCCTTACAACTGTCTGGGCCGAACATTTGAGCGACGAAGTTAAGCGCAGATTCTACAAGAACTGGTACAAGAGCAAGAAGAAGGCTTTCACCAAGTACGCCAAGAAGCACTCCGAGAACAGCGGATCTTCCATCACCCGCGAACTCGAGCGTATCAAGAAGTACTGCACCGTCGTCCGTGTCCTCGCCCACACTCAAATCAGAAAGACCCCTCTCAAGCAAAAGAAGGCTCATTTGATGGAGATCCAAGTTAACGGAGGTAGCGTCGCTGAGAAGGTTGACTTCGCTAGCGGTCTCTTCGAGAAGCCAGTTGAGATCAGCTCCATCTTCGAGCAAGATGAGATGATTGATGTCATCGCTGTCACCAAGGGTCACGGTTTCTCTGGTGTCACCAGCAGATGGGGAACCAAGAAGCTTCCTAGAAAGACACACAAGGGTCTCCGTAAGGTCGCCTGTATCGGTGCCTGGCATCCAGCCCACGTCCAATGGACTGTTGCCCGTGCTGGTCAAGATGGATACCATCATCGTACCTCTTGCAACCACAAGGTCTACCGTATCGGACGTGGTGACGACCCCAACAACGCCGCCACCGAGTTCGATGTCTCCAAGAAGGCCATCACCCCGTAAGTTTCAGCAGTCTACTACTTTCAGTGATGCATTGACTAACATAATTCTAGTATGGGTGGCTTTGTCAGATATGGTGAGGTCAAGAACGACTTCATCATGCTCAAGGGTTCCGTTCCAGGTGTTAAGAAGCGTGTCATGACTCTCAGAAAATCCATGTTCGTTCACACCTCAAGGAAGGCCTTGGAGAAGGTTGAGTTGAAATGGATCGATACATCCTCCAAGTTCGGTCACGGTGCTTACCAAACCGCCGAGGAGAAGCACCAATTCTTGGGTACCCTCAAGAAGGACATTGCTCAATCCTCATAAATCTAAAAATTGGTTTCGCATTCTGGGTTTCTTACGTTTCGATAGGTGTAGTCGGTGGGGGTATCATATGTGCAATAAAGCAGTCCATGATTACCTATGGATATACTAGCATTCCATCAATGAAGAAATGTCAATGATATCCAATAATTTCAATAATGTTTTAACTTATGATAATGTTTTGGCAAGCCCAGCCAATTGTGAGAACTGAGAACTGAGAGCTGTGATCCACGCAACGTTGGATTCAATACAGTGAAAGAATTTTCCAAGCTGGTCTTTATCATGTTATATTTACGGCTAGCACTTGACGGACCTCGTTCTCGTCCTCTTGACTCCTTTTTTCCTTGTATTTTCCAACAAATTTCAACAGACCTTTCACGGAGACCCTAGGAGCAATTTATGAGTTGGATTTATTAGCAATCACTTGAATCAGACTTTCTATAACTCGATCTCATATAACTTCTCTTTGCAAGACAGCTAACATTGTTTTGCATCGGTCAATCCGTCTTAAGTATTTTCTGTTTTTTTCTTCTGTCTTTTTCTCCTTCTCTTCCATCTCCCTATCTTTCTTCAATTGTGAAAATCGTCATCTCATCAAACACCCCTGTATATAAATTTTTAAGTTGCACAAACAAGAAAAAGAGAGATTCCCCATTACCCCACGTCACCGAAGTCACACAACATCCTCTGGTCCTTCCTTAACCCCTCTCTTCTTAGCTTTATTTACTAGTTTCACTACATTGTCAATATCAATGGGTGCACTTTTCGCCGTCCTCACCATTCCTTATCGAAGCATCAAAGAATCTATTGAGAAAAGTCGCAAGCAGAAGAACAAAATTAAACAAGTAAATAAACAAACAAAATCTGCACCGGGAAGTCGCACACCGAGTGTTTATCGTGAGACGGGAGGAAGAACACGAAGAACAGAGAGATTAGAAGGAAGAGTTAGTCCAGAGAAGGGAAGATCGCAATCATTAGGTTATTTACCATCGTTCGAAACGCCTCGGGCAGAATTGGAGGCAGAATTGGGCAAGGGAGTAAACAAGGGAAAGGGAAAAGAAATCGAAGGGGCTTCGCTGCAGAAATTTTCGACGGTGTTAAGGACGACGTCGCAGAGAGATTTTGCGTTGGACGCTACACAGCAGGTAGAGGTTATTGCGTAGACGAAAAAATCAAGCTTGCGATTCCTACTGCTTTGTTTTCTCGACAAGGACGAATTGGAGAGTTTGGGTCTGAGAGATCTAGAATTGAGCAGCGTTTCTTGCATAGCTCTGCGATCTTCAGATATACTAAGGAGAATAAAAGTCCGAAGGAAATAAATACAAGCACACAACCTCAAATATCATCCAAACGAACGAATAACTACACAGACAAAATGGGATCAGACGAAGATTATATGGCGTTCCTCGATAAGGCCAACGAGGATCCCAGTGCCGGCACATCGAAAGCTACGAGCAGTAATAAAAAAGCTGAGTTCAAGACCATGGATGATGATGTGGATGTACCTAGCGTGTTGGTTAGAGCAACGAAGGATGCGTGGTACACCAGTGATGCCGATGAACCATTTGTTGTTGTGGCGCTGAAATGTGAAGGAGGAATGCCAGATGAAGGTTTGTTTCTCGCTCTCTATTGAGAATTCTGGGAAATCATTGGTGTATATATACTAACAAGAAATAGAAACATTCGCGAAGCTCATAGCCCATCCTACTCCCGCAGTCGCAGCGGAAGAAATACAGATTATGGATATTGGGGAGTGGGATCCGCAGGGACAATATAAGCAGATTGTACATGCAGTGAGAGATGCTAGTAAGGGGAGTGATGTGAGGGTTTACAAGGTGTCAGGGGAGGGAGCGAGAGTTGAGTATTGGGTTGTAGGGGTTGAAGGGGGGAGATTGGTTGGAGCGAAGGCGCTGAGTGTGGAGAGTTAGGGGGTGAGGAGAGGGAGGGGAAAAGACTGTTTATACCTGGCGTTTCTTGACTTTTGCTTTTGACTCTGAAGGAGGGGTATTGGGGGATTGGGGTACATGATATAATGATGATTAAATGATTAAAATGAAAGACAAAATGGAGATTTTGTATACGAGATGAGTTGTGATCCATTCATCTTTCGGTAAGCAAACACAGATATGCCTATCTAGGTACCCGTTGTCGAGTGACAATGAGAACCTAGCATGGGCTACACGATGCATTTTTCTCTTCAAAAGCTTTTTGGAAGATACTATCAACCTTTTTTTTTCAATGTCTTGGTTTTATTTCCATATTCTATATCATTCTCGTTGCTCTTAATCCATTTCTCTGTCCGCGAATCTGCCAATTATGTTCTTCGTTCCTTCCTGTTCCATTGTATCCAACTACCTAATACCTTTAAAAAACAAGTGGTGGATGTACAATGAAGTAGGAATCTGTTAATTGCATTTTTCTCCTTCCCTTCTTTATATTATATTCTTCTTCGTTGCATCCAACTACCTAGTACCTTTAAAAAAAACATGTAGTGGATGTACAACGAAGTAGAACTTTCGGTTTCCTTCTCCTTCGCCTCCCAGATATAGTTCCAGGAGGTGGTCCAGATCCATCCGATATATAATTACTCGGCGGGTTCATCTCTTGAGATCCCTCCTTCCCTCCTCTTATAATCTCTTCGTCCCCGGGATCTCGTATTGTTATATATATATTTCAATAACGTTCCTCTATATACTCCAGCTCCCAGCATCATTGATAGCTCCAATATATATAGGGCTACAACTATTTATAGGCGTCCGCTCGCGATAGTCCGTATCGCAGTTCGATATTTAGGAGCTTTCAATGTATGGGGGTACTTGAGTATTTGAAAAGGGATCGATGTTCGAAATGCATTCAATCTTTCGGATGATTTGAGGATTCGGATTGGATTCGAGTATTGGAAGGCTTCGACCGTCGGATTCTGGCTGAGACAATGGGATACGACGCTGGGACCGCTTGTGCCGACACGAGGTGTGAAGGAGAGAATTGGTTTTCCTTCGCGGAAGAGTCTTTGCTGATAAGCGACGCAGTTTCCACATGGCCACGGGTATGCTTCAACCTTGTATCTAATCCTGCTTTGGCTTGGTAAATATATGGGTGTCTGGTTGACCCCATTCCAAATTGAACCGTCACTAATATGATAGGGTGTAGCGGCTGTGACTGCAAACTTCCATATTGGCTTGTATGTTAAACGACCAATAGCTTAAATCTTTACAGTCGTAGCGCTCGCAGGAGATTTACAATACTACAACGACTATCACTACCCAGGTATTAGATATATTTGCCGTTGATGAGACGGTGATTTATCTCACAAGTATGTGCAAGCTCCTTAACATCTCCTCATAGTACCGATCTCACAGCTCTCGCCATACACCACAAGTCAATGAATCGACGATTATCCACCTCAGTCCAAACATATCTCGGTGGAGGGTGGCCCAAGCAGTGCATGGTCACAGTTAAAACCGTCCATTGCGCCGCTGCATCAGCGAACCTCTCTATTCTTTGCGCCTCGTCCCATTCTCGTGTAAAATACTCGGTATAAGGTATTTCCCACCTAAACAAATACGCGCCTATTCCCGCGTTAAATTGACGAGGGTCGTACCCCGGGAACGCGGATGAGAGTTGTGTGGCTTGGAAGGCAAAGGACAAAAAGTAATAGAGGAGCAACCGCGGATTTGGGTTCTGGTAGACCTCTGGGTGTTGGCTTTTGTGCAGCTGCCATTTATTCCAAATTTCGTGGGAGATTTCGGAGTGGAAACCGAGATCCAGGAGGGTTTTACGGTGTTCGTGCGAGCTGCAGGAGCAGATGATGTAAGGGGGTGGATCGGGGATTTCCAGTGGAGGAGCGGGGGCGTCGAGTGGGGGAGTGAGGGAGTAGGGTGGGGGAGGGGAGCTGGGATGCGCGACGTCGAAGGCGTCTACTTCGATGAGGGGGTTGTATCGGTTGAATCGGAGGGACCATACCGCCCGGGGACTGCGGATAGAGTTATCCGGGTTGTTGACCGGGATGGAACCGTTTGTTTCGCTCATTTTTTCGGTTTCGAGATGAGGATTCGACGGAGATGGGTTTCTCGTCGGCTCGGTTATGAAAGTTGTTTGATGATGGTTATATGTATGGTTGTTCGAACTTCGGATGAAGAATATGATCTCAATTCGAATTTCGATGTCTCGAAAGCTCTCCGTATTCGATATAGATTGGGTTTCTATATTGGGCTGTAGTATTTCGAGTTTATATGATCGTCTGAGATGGAATCTGATACGAAGATGTATGAATAAATCGAACTGGTAAGAAAAGTTTTCCTTGCTCAAGAGTTTTTTGATATAGAAATGAACGAATAAATGGAATCGATATTTTTTTTTTATGGATTTGGAGCTCGTGGAAGAGAAGAAGCGAAACCTTCAAATTCTTGGAGCTGTTTACTAGCTTCATGCCGTCTAGAGTCTAAAATCTTGTGTGACGTCTCTCGGCGAATGTGCTTTGATAAATACATGACAGCTCTCAGAAATTCCTAAAAGGTAGAAAATAGTGGAGAAATTCCCATCAGTAGCTACTTAGTAGGTATCTAGTAGCTATAGATTTTGTGTAGATGGATTTTGAGAGGAGAAAATATTACATCATTATGTAATTTGAATTAAAAGAGCTACCCATTTGTTACTCGATAGCAGTCTATGTCTGCCCAGTTCTGTATTTCCCAGTCCTTTTCATTAATTTGTCTATTAGCTTCATAGAAAGTTTCCTTGGCAAGTACTCCACTGCGTACAATTTACTCACAAGTTCCCGAACTAGGCAGCACCACCCATCGATGCTTTCCCTTTCAAGTTCTTCCACGGCCAGTGACTTCCGAAAGCGACAAACATTGCAATTCCACAACAAGTGATTGCCAACGCATATGTAACTTTTAGACCTTGCAAATAACTCTCTATAATTCCCTCGATCAAGTCTCCTTCTTTTCCAAACACATTTCTTAATTCGCTAACCCCTACTGACAATACCTGGGCTGGAGAAACCGAAGGTGCGTAGTGGGGAAGAACATGTAAGATACGGTTTGCGAAAGCCGCTTCTGCGATGGAGATGAAGAATGCACCTCCGATTGTTTGCAGGAATAACACCATGGCCGTCGCGGAAGAAAGATCGGCTTGGGAAACGGTCGCTTGGGCGGAGATGACGGGGATTTGGAAAACGAAGCCGGTGGAGAGACCGGCGAGCGCTTGGTAGCCTATCCACTGTGCGAAGCTGGAATCGACGCCGAGCGTGTAGAGAAGTCCACAACCTATTGTTGCGCCGGCTGCGCCGATGATCATGAATGGAACGCTAGGAGAATGTATTAGTAAGTTTGAGACTCGAGGAAGATGCCGTGCTGAGATGAAACTTACAAATGGCCAAATGCAGATATTAATCCACCAGAGATGATGGTTGCGATAGTAGTACCGATAATCATTGGCAGATTTCGCACACCGGATTGAGAAGCCGAAACTCCAGAGACGACTTGAAAGTAATAAGGCAAATAGTAGAGTAGAAGGAACCATCCGCCGCAGAGAAAGAATACATATACCATTCCTACAGAAACTGTACGTTCTTTCAACAAACGGCCGACAATAACTCCACGCTCGCCTTGGAAATATTGGATTACAATGAAGAGGATGAGGAGAAGGACGAAGCCGATGAGAGTGCCAATGACATCGGCAGATTTCCAGGCTTTCGTTTGGCCACCCCATTGAAGAGCCAGGAAGAAGCAGACGAGACTGGCCATGATTGTAAATGTTCCGGGGAAATCCATTTGTAAGATCTTTTCCTTGAGGGTAGCAGGAGTTGGTACCGCATTTTTAGGCGTAGTGAACACTAGAAAGTCGACGTATTAGCACTTGTATTGTTTGAGATACAGAATATGAAGAACAGATCAACTACTCACGAAATAGGATGATAGCCCCTGCGAGTCCACCAATCGGCAGATTAATGTAGAAACACCAACGCCATGTCAGTTTATCTGCAAACACGCCTCCGAGAAGTGGCCCTACTACGGACGCTACTCCATAAGATGCGCCCAGAATACCCGTATAAGCTGCGCGTTGGGAGGGAGATGCTGCGAATGCAATAATTGTGTATGCTCCAGAGGCAATTCCAGCACCACCAAGTCCTGCAATGGCTCTGCCTACTATTAAAGCGGTACTATTTGGAGCAACGCCTATGAGTTTTCGAAATTAGTGTTTGCTATAATCCGGACTTTGAGACAACGTACCGCAGATTAGACTCCCAAGTTCGAAGATGAAAATGGCGATGAGGAAGGTTATCTTTAGTGGAAAGTATTTGTAGGCCTTTCCCCATGTTGATTGAAAGGAACCGACTGTGAGAAAGAATGCAGAACCATACCAGCCGACAAGATCTAAGCCGTGGAACTGGTCGGTGATTTTAGGAATTGCTGTGGCCTGAAATTATATTAGCTATACACTCGACTATATATTGTGATTCCTGGTCGCAAAGCAAAAGGGAGAGAGAGAAGATATACATACCACGATCGTCATGTCTAAAGAGACAAGAAAGATGCTGAGTGATAAAGCAATCACAATCATCACCATTGCAAAAGCCTTTGGATACTCTAAACCATCTTCCCCTGGGCTATTATTCTTTACCTCTCCACTTTCTAAGTCCGCACCATCTGTGCTGTTCTTTTTCTCTCTCGATATTGAATCATTGATCGAAAGCGCAGTACTCTTTACCAACTCGGCATCAGATACCAAAGTTGTTGGCCTTGAGGTTTCCATGTTGGCTCGGTCGTCTTGAGACATCAAACTTATTTTGTTATCTTGATCAAAGTAGAATAGACAATCGCAAAGCAATCGCAATCAATATTTGAAGAAGTAATGAGAAAGTATAATAGTAAAAAGTGAACGCGATTAATATTCAAATTTATTTTATTTCATCATAGCAAAACCGGGATCCCTTTATAGAAAGCCTCTTTCCTCATCTCACTCAAACGCACTCACGCTCGGGTATTGGACGTTAACCCCTTTCATAAGACCGCCTTGCGGAGATGGTGTGACGGAGACGGCTTGGATCTCATACTGATCACTCAGGGTAATCGACATACGCGCTGACATATTCTGCAATAACTCCGCCGATGAATCACAACGAAACTTTAACAAAACCTCATCAAAGATACTGCAATATCTTGTAGAACATTCGAAATTGCATTCCATACCTCAACGAATGCTTACCCATTGGGCCAAGTTTTCAAGCGCTTACATCTGACAGACCTCAACTTACCGTTCTCGTCAAGGAATCCTTATTTGATTTACATGTAGTCAGCATGCTTGTGCATATTTGGGTATCAAAAAGAAAGGATAATAAGATAAATGGGATTTTATATGATAAGTTTTAGGTCATGGTCAAGTTTCCGCCGAAGTGCGGCAGGAGAGGATGATAAACAAATAATCAGATTCGGCGGAGATGACGGTCGAAAGAGAATAAGGGATAAGCGAATGAAAAGGAAAATGAAAATAAAAATGAGAGTGAATGAGTCACTCTGAGAAACAATGACTTCTGGTTACACAACGTTTCACGTCCCTCCACATGGATGTTTTGATCAAGTGGCAGAATATACTTACGGAAAGCGGTGTCAATCAATATTTGTCTCATCTCTCACTCGCGACGGCGACGATGTTCTGGACTATATAAACTTTATCAATATGCTGAATCATGAAAAATGCTTTTTGTAAAAGTTGTGTAGGGCTGGGAGCTCTATATTTTAACTCTTTGCAGAGACTCACCCTCCCATTTCATAACAATACGAATCGCTGAAGTTTGGATTATCAGGATTCCAGCATCGATCAATGGGTACTTAGGTACTTGGACTCATGAAATAGCTTCAAGATGAACATACGACATTCACATACTTGATATCTGTTGGTTGGGCTCAAGCCTTCGTAAAATCATTCAATACAAATTGAACAACGAGAATGGATCTCTGAATACAAACAGATACGAACCATGGTCTGACGACATTAAAATTGAACGTTGCGGGTGATTAGATACTCAAAAGAAGTCAATGAATTATTCACCTCGTTCACACGGTCTCACTTCTGCGCCATTCACGGTAGGAAGTTTTAAGTAGATTTTCTTCCTATACATGAGTCTCCCAAAAGTAGACAGACTACATCCTCCTCTATAACTTAAAGGCCATCACAAGAGTACGAGTGTCTTTCTTTTACTATCTATCCAGCTGAGAAAGTTCTTTGAGTACTATTTGTCTATTATAGTCATTCTCATTAAGGTTCTGTTGTCTCCTATACCAAACTTCACATTTCTCCTCATCTCCCATTCTGAGTTTATCAGGTATTTGAGTTAAGAACGGCAATTAGACATACGCACAATGGATGTTCAAGGAATGAATGTCTTGCCAACAGGCAGAAAATTAGAAACCATATCTAATGGTAGTACTCTCGTCCATCTTGGTGCTTACCTTTACTGATTCTTCTCTAGGAGCCACTATGAGCACGAATACCAACAATAGGTTTCGACCTTCGCTTACTGACGCTCTACCTGTCGAAATGATCCAGGCTGTTTGTGAATATCTGCACCAGGAAGATCTGGTGAATTTTCGATTGGCGAATCATATCTGTGCCGGAGCTGGTATGGATAGTCTCGTCCAAGATATATATGTTATATTCACCAGAGAGAGTTTTGAAAAACTACTTAACATCTCAAATCACCCTGAGATATCGAAGCGTGTCATGGCAATACACTATGACCCATTTAAATTTATCCCAGTGAGTGAAGATCAATATGGCGACATGTCGGCTCCAATTATCTTTCCAGATACCCTAGAGGAATCCAACCCAAGCCCGGAGTACCTGATCGACCTAGCCCGTGGTTTCGAAGCTCACAAAAAGATTCGTGAAGAACAAGCTTTGATGACGAAGAGCAAATTTAGTACATGGGTATTTTCACAAGTACTACCAAATTTCAGCTCACTGAAAAAGTTTATCATGGCAGACTGCGATTTCGAGCAATCCGATCGTTTAAGATCGGATTCCAGCCCTATACCAACCCACCGCGGCTGTGGGAATTATTATGAGGAGCGTCGAGAAGAAGCTCTAATGTTTCTTGCTACTGCTGCTACCGCTGGTACGAAGCTGGAGTATCTTGATCTCGATGTGGTGGATTTTGACATGCTACTGGGAGCCTCGATTAGCACCAACATATTTCCAGATGGATCAGATGCTCGGTATCTTCGCTATCTTAGTGTTAGAGGAATGAACTCTACTTCTCAGAATTTCAATCGCGGACTAAGACAATTACTACGAGCCACATCGAACCTCGAACATCTATCCATCGACAAAAGATTTTATGCCGCTGGATCTTTGGAAATGGACTGGGACGTTGTCTTAGTGGGCTTAAAACTGCCATATTTGAAAAGCGTGCAATTCTCAAATATAGGGGGCAAGCCATCATCCCTTACCGAGTTTCTTGAGAGGCATGCTAGAACTCTAAGGAGTCTAAAACTCACGAACTGTGACTTGGAAGGAACCGTCGCCGACTGGGCAGATATTTTCGACAAAATCATGATTCATCTGACCCTTGAAACAGTCTCTTTCGCTTGGCTGGCAGGCCTTGTGCGCACCGGCTTCGAATCGATCGACCGCCAGGTCAAATTGAATCATAAGTACCGTAGCCTCGTCTTTCAAGTATTACTCGAAGATCGTCTTACCCACAAGAATCTTTTGGCGAAGGAATGTTCTCTCACCCCAAGTGTACTTTGGCGGGACTATCTCTCCTATGTGAAGGCTCAAACTCACAAGGCAGCGGCAACATTTGCAGAGCTCGATTCTCAAGGCCTTGAGTGGAGTGATCGAGATGATGATGAGTCGCATCTCATGGATTTCATCTAAAATCTATAGCATCATCTATAGCATCATCTGTAATACTCATATTCAATGCACACTCTTCTCTAACAACCGAATCGTTTCCAGTAATTAGCTAGTTCTATAATCTTCAATGAATGTACCTAAATTTCTACATACATATGATTCTATTTGGCTGAACTGAAGTGAAAGGCATATAACCTCAGCCACACATTTTAACCATCCATACAAACACACACGATATCTTGAGAATCACTTCTCCTTGCCACATATATTGAACCTTCCCATATCCATAAATGCACCACCATTCCTCCATTCGAAAGATACCCTGTCTTAGGTGGGTGTAGAGCCCCGCCCATATTCTTCATAACTCACTGCTCCATCTCCCCTATCTAAACATAAAACGCATTACAATACAGTCTACACACACCCCTCCTCCTACCACCAAAATTTTCACTCGCCAAAACCCCGAGAAACATCTCGCTATCCCATCCACTCCACCCAACCATGCTATTCCAATTCCAATTCGTCTCCAAAATTCAACATCTAAACCTACCCCATTAAAAATCAACATCCAACATACCTAATAATCAACCCCTTACCTTCCACTTTCCACTCACTTCACTTACTTCGCATAACCCATACATCCCACAAACCTCTCCCTCCATCCATCTAGCTTTCCAAAACGAATTCACACTTCCCAATCCCGTTTCCAAAATCCACACACGCAAAGGATTCACTTCCCCGCCCCCTTTATTCGCCTATCTATTCCGCCCCTTGTCAATCCCACCCCATCCCATTCCATCCATTCCACTGCGTTTCAATCTCCACCATTCAGATTTGTCACATCTTTCAAGCCTTTTCGTGTAGAATTGTAGGAATTTGGGAGTATGAGAGTATAAGAGACGCTGTGAAATTATATATCGGGGTCAAATGTATTTGTTATCTTGGTTTGTTGGGGGTTGAAATTTGGATTATGGGGATTGGTGTGGGAGTTGGTTCATCTGTTCAATTGGGGGCTGTGAGATGTGAGATGTTTTATCCTCAAAAGAGGAAGAAAGAGAAAGCGAATTTAGAATATGCGAATGACATCACCATCAACCATTAGGCTTCTAGCCATTAACTGATTTTAAAATAAGAAATATTTGACCTTGATATACATATTTATCATGATCCGACTATATTACACAATAACCACATCGCAATGATCCTTCATATATAACTGATATTCATAATCGTAAAGATGCGCCTTCGCAAAGCCCTCACATCCTGTGGATATCCATATACAATTCCATACCCAAAACCTCGTCCAATCCAGCCGTGCCGTCCGTATCCTCATTAGCCGGCCTGCCGTTCTATGATAACCCATATAAAATGCACAATGTAAAAATCGTTCGTATGTTAATTCAGTCATCCTGCTTCCAACACTTTCCACATCGCATTCCAGATGAGGTTCTAGTTTCACTCATCAATCTCCTTTCCGAATGGAATCAATTGTGGGTCACCGCGGCCGGTGGTCTCGTTATATCAGGTTGCGCGCCTAGATAAGTCTCAGAATATGTTGGCGGTCCTAGCGGTGGACGCGCTGATGTGCTTCGACTCAATGGCCTCGCTTCCACCTCTTCATTCGAATCTGCTGCGCTGGTGATTGGTGTTGATGATCCCCCCATCGATGTCCGTATTGCTGAATTACTCGCAGTCGTAGCGGTAGGTCGAGAAAGCTCCGCAGATAGTCTCGACTCTACACCCGATATACTTCGTTCCATAGAGTTGTTGATAGTCTCCGTCCCCACAGCCGGCACGCTAGATGCGCCATTTTCATTGGCATGATCTTCACGAGAAACGACCATAGTAACCCCATCCTCACTCCTCAAACTCGGCGGTTTATCGCCCTCCACATAAGCCGGGGGCGCCTCACCCCTCTCATCCAACCCCTCTTGTCGTTCTCTATGTGCGCCCATCGATCCCATCGTCATACCCATCAGCCCCGTTCCCGCTCTTCTCGGTCCAAATCTCGTTCTGAAATCTGCAAACGATTGTACATCGCGAGCCAAGGCAGTTTGACCATTATGTCGTATGAGTAGTGCCTTTCGTTTCCGTCGTTGGGTAATATACAGGAGAAGGAAGAAAACAATAACTACGAAAACAGCGACTATGACGAAATAGTAGTTGTAGACATGGCTTGATGCTTCTTCGCCGTCAGGATCTGTACTGGAGGAGAGTTGACGGACATTTAAGATGTGAGGGGTGGATGAAGGAGGGGTAGCCGAAGTGATGAATGTCGTTGACACTGCGTTTGGGATCTGTGCGTAGGAAAATTTGGGAAAGATTATCGATAACACGAGAACTGAGTAGAAAGGTTGACTGTTGATACAATGGCAGACATCTTTCTGATATCTTGATGGCATATCTATATATTTGATGATTATCTTGAGTAAGAAAGGAACCAAGTCGCCCTGGACGATAGAAAGATACGAGTATAGCTCTGTTAAGGTAGACTCGTCATTCAAAACCTTCTTTTGTATTAATAAGAATTGCAATTGTATGAGCTATTTTCTCGCAGTCGCAAATGGTGGAAAGCAAGGTATCCCCGCGCTTTTGTACGAGTACGAATTCCAACAAAAACAAGCACGCTGGTGAGAAGAAAGAAAGGATGGATAAGATAGTAAGCCTTGCTTGCTTGTATACTTTTTCTGAAGGAGAAAAAGAAGAATACTATAAACAACAAAGAAATAAATGAGGATATTTGAATACCCAAGATACGTAATACAATATGTACCAGAAATCCTAACACTTTACCTACGCCTCATTCTGCTGTTGCTACCCCGTACATTCTAGACAAAATGGATTCAAAGTGTGTCAGTTTGTCTTTGTGTCTTGGTCTTTCCTTTTCCGAAATAGCCGGTGACGGTGGGCTAGGAAGCTTGTATTGGGATTAACCAATTGGAAGAGAGGTGCGGAAACAGCTCTCGGATAAACGGGCTCGGCGTGTGTTCCGCTCTGTCCGTGCCGATTTTATTTTTCCCAGATAAAATAGAATATGCAAAGAACTTTCAGTATCTTACTTTACACTACGCTTCAACATAAGAAGGAAGTCAGAGATTCAAAATTAGGGCTCGTTGTCATTGTAATTCCAAGTGGAAGAAGTTCCAAAACCCATAAATTGAAAGACAAGTGTCATGAATTTGGTTTGGCAATCGCGAAGCCAGACGTTTCAACATCGAAGGCTAAAACACAGAGATGTAAAGCGGATCGATAATAAACAAACTCGAGCAATGAGTCATAGAAGTTTTGAAAGAGATGAAGAATGATCGAAGAAGCTGGCATAGCGATACTTTTGCTGTGCTCGTCGGGCGTGATTTTGTGAAGGCAGTGCATACATGGGGTTGTGAGGCTGAGGATGATGAAGTGCCGGGATATATGCATGGAATTAGGCACGCGGTGAAAGCAATAAAGAGAAGAAAAAGACTAAAGGGGACCATGAAGGGGACCATGAGGGGAATACAGAGGGGCCAATGGGGGGTTTGGTCATTGTGGGTTAAAGGATTCCAACTTCCAAAGAGGGGCTGATGGGCATACTCAAGGTTTTGTCGATGTTTTTGTGGGTACTGATTGGGAGGCTGGATTTCGACGACCGGTTGTTGATGATCAATTGTCGATAGAAATACTCATCAAGGAATGATCAATGCAGGTTGATGTCGAGCATTCATGACCTATATTTCCCTGGGTATGTTGTACATCCGTTGACGAGTGCCCTACACTCCGAGTGACGAAACAAGTAATGTTAAAGCGGAAATTCTTCATTATATTGACAAATCCACATTATTTTATTATCGGCAGTGAGAGACCTAGATTGCAAGGCCGCATGGGAGGTTCATTAGGAGACCTAGTGTCTCGAGCAAGGCTTTCAAACTATTGGGTGACTGGAAGGTCTGGTTCTGGCCATGGAAAGTGTGATGCTTTACGAATATACCTATGGAAGATTGGCCTCGATATGTCTCTGATATCGAAGACGTATTTGGTCATTCATAATTCAGCAACTATGCAAGATCGAATAACCATTGGCATAGACTGGGTCAACTGGTCAAAGATTTTGTCCATCAGCGAGCTGAATCTTCTTTAAGAATTAAATTCGTGAATCCATCAAGCTTTGATTTTATGCTCCGATGGACATTCGCAGCAGGTTCAAATTACAATAGTGACATATAATCATAAGATGAGAGCCAAAGACCCCTCCTCTTTTTCGTCCTCGCCAAAAGAAAAACGCAGGAGATTATTATACATTGGTAGTATGAATGATTGCCGGAATATCCTCTCAAGTCTTCTTCAAACATGCAAGTTATTTTTGTTGAAAGAATGCACAACTATCATTAAGCTTTTATAAGTAGGTGTAACTGGTACACCATGTAAAAGGGGGAAGATTACCGAGATTCATCAGCTCAGGATACTTTGATTTGTAGATCTGGGTACTCAATTCTCGTAGCCGACTGGTAATCCAAACCGCAAGGAGTGTTTGATGTGAAAATGAAGTTTTTTTTTTCTGGAAAATATTCGTTTTCAATGCTTGAGACCGTATCTAGTAGATTATAGAGAAATTTATCCGTTGTGAAAGGGTAGCACAATGCCACCACCATGTAGCCTGAATTCGAACACCCTAGAATTCGCCAAAGTGCTCACGGAGGATTGTAGGTACAGTATACCGATCCGATTTAATATCTTAGGTTTTCCTACACAGGTATTCACACAACTCTATTATGAAATTGGTAAATTCATATTGCAGACTAGAACCACTCGAAGTTTCCTGTTGCGCACTGTCCCAAAAGTACGTAATGGGAAAGGTGCATCACAGTCTGCACGGGCCACTAACTACAACCGACTTGCTTTATATCAATACAGACCTTCATCATTTATCAAAGAGGCACATAAAACATCACGAGGATTCAGGCATCTGAGAAGTCAAAAGAAAAAGAAGCGCTCAAGATATTCATCATGACACGAGCTATTAGAGGTATGTATTCAGCAAATTTCCACCATTATCATTTGCCTATCTTTTACTAGCTTGCTCCTTTGATCCTTGATCATCCAGCCAGTGTTCTAGAACACTTCAGAGTATACACCGACAGATGATGCAGGTGCGCATTTTGTCTGGTACAAATTTGCTTACAATTACACAAATGTAACCAATCTAACAAGAAATCAAGGCACTCTTGTGGAGTGCGATCCATCTATCAAGTCTCTCATTGTCAAGATAGATGCAGAGTCGCATCATGAATATATCGTTGAGGATCTAGATGATGAAACTTTGCTTATCCAAGAAAGCAAGTTAGTACATTTGAAGGCACTTCTGGAAAAGGTATGTGTGCCTTTACTTTTATGGTCTATTTGATGTGCTGATTTGGTTATTCCTAGGCACTTAAGGAGACGCAGGTTGAGGATGAATCAGAATCTGAATAGAGCTGTGAGAATCACGTTGGGGTAAAGGTACTGGCGTCAGACAAGGTTTTGTGGCGTTTAATACGATTGATTATTGAGGGTATCTTTTTGCTTTTGGGATGTCGTATTTTACTTTATCAAAAACGATCTTCATTAACACCCCAACGACATTTACAAATTTGTAGTTCTGTTTCTTGGGATGCCCCGAGTTGCCAGTACGTCTCGATATTGTGATTTGAGGCTCTTTGGCCATGCCACGTTTGACAAGTCTAGAAAAGAGGACGTCGAATGTTCTGAATCATCTAGGGCGAATGATATACTGAGACCTCTGCATGAAACTGCATACCCTTACTCTGATCAAACGTTTACTACAATCTGGAGTGTGATTTTGTACATCTCCATTCATTTATGGACTGAAATGCCAATACGCTCTATGATACAATATACATTTCCTCGTCCTACGCATCCGGTGAGGTCGACGTCGACACACTAGATGGTAAAGTCTCTGCAGTAGAGCCGACAGGTATGGAGTCTAAAGGTATCTTTCTTCTTGGTCTCTTCAATTCCTCCATGGTGACTCCATCTAACTTTGTGATTCCAACAACCGGAGGGTCCCCCTTCTTGACGAACTCATATTGACCTATATTCGTACAAATCAGCATGTGAGAAGAATATGAGGTTCATATTTACTGACCTGGCATTTTGTTGCCTGCTAATCGAAACGCATCTCTCGCGACCTGTTCGTGCACATCTCCCTTCAACTCAAATATAATCTTGCTGACAGCAATTCTGGAAGCCCAGTGGTCGAAGGAACCTTTTCCTTTACCTTGACGAACCTGTGAAACCATTAGGTATCTATTCTTGTGATCTTAAATATATCCCTGGCGCATGTGCTTACCTCGTTACCACTGCTGTATACACCAATTTGGGCAGCAACTCTCTTATACAATCGATATCTCATACCCTTCAGTCTGACCTTAATAGCATCCTCTCCAACTTTCAATTGCTGCGCACTAACACGGCGATGATGATCGCACATTCGCAAACCATATTCTCCCCATACTAAAGTGGTACCTCTGGCTGATCCTCCTGTCGGCACACGGGGTCTTCCTTTCCGTGACCTCTTTTTTTCTGGCATAGTAGGCAGAAGCCAATTGCCTGAATTGACGGCTGTGCTAGAAAATGGGCGATGAGACTGAGGGGAAGTGTGGTTCGAAGGTGCGGAGAAAGCTGAGGCTTGGGCTAGGATGGGACCAAGAGGTCGGATTGTGTTGGAGGCTAATGAAAGCCTCCCAAATTGAGCCGTGAAGCTCTGCAAACTTTGAGGCTTCATGGTGGATGGCTATGGACGTTATTGTCGACCAAACCTAAAGAAATCCTAGATCCTCAAATTGGATGGTTCAGTATGTTTACCTAATATTTGAGGCAGCAGTAATTTTTTGGTAAAATCAATCTAAAGTGGCAACGCGTTACTTCCGCGTCGGGTCGTCGCGTATTCCGTACTGTATGTAACCAAAAAGATCCAAGCTACTTCACAGCAACATTTTCTTCTAGCAATTGCTTCTATCAACGAAAAAATTTTCTGTAAAATTCGTAGTATTCTTAAAGCGGGCTATTGCTAAATCCGCCCAGTATGCCTGCGGATATTAGAAGCTTCTTTGGAGGTAAACCTGGAACTTCTACGGCTACACCCATCCGAGCCAAGGAGAACAAGAAGGAGGAAGATTCTAAGAAAAAGAAGAGCAGTAAGTTGCTCACATTGCTTGGGTTATTGAATGATACTAATACAATATAGAAAGTCGCAAGATTATTGAAGATAGCGAAGATGACGAAGGACCATTGTATGCTTCCCAAAGTAATCCTGCTAAGCTTCTACTAAAGTCTTCCAGGCCAAAAAAGCCCGAACCCAAAAAAGCTGCGCCTAAGAAACCAGTGTATGATTGTCCAGGTCCTCCTCTCTTTACGTTGTTGACCAGATAATCTAGAAAAAATGAAGAGCCTGAAGGAAAGGAAACGACCGCGGATGACTTTTTTGCTTCGAGCAATAAACCCAAAGCTAAGCAAGTAAAATCGACACCTGTAAAGGCAAACCCACCGCCAACTGAAGCGAATATTCGATCTTCTACTCGGAAAACGGCGTCTGCAACATACAAAGTGATCGAGGACGATGACGAAGACGATGAAGACGATGATATATTTGCAGCAGATGCAAAAAAGACAGGCAAGCGAAAGGATGACGGTTATGTCGAAATTGACAGCGACGAAGAGGTCTTACCAAAACCCAAGAGAGTTGTGTCAAAGTCGAAAACTGCGCCAACCACAAAGGACAAAGATATCAAAATGAAAGATGTCGGCGATGACGATGACGACATGATGATAGTTGAAAAGTCAGGGAGTATCTCTGCTGCGAATGGCAAGAAGCGTAAATCTATCGATTTAGAATCCGAGGACGAGGAAGATATTGCTCCTACTAAGAAGGCCTCTAACAGCAAGAGCTCAAAGCCACCACCCGCCAAAAAACCTCGTGCTCCGCCCAGGAAAGCATCTGCTCCAGAGAGCTCGAGTATACAGGCAATCCTAGACAGCGTCCCAACAGTTCGAGCCCCAACCCCCCCTCCGAAAGATGATAGTGTCAAGTATGATTGGCGAGCTGGTGGAGGCGGTGGCAACTCAGGCGCTCCGCCAGCTGCAGGTTGTGCCGAAATTCCTGAAGGTGCCGAAAACTGTTTGGTGGGTTTGACATTTGTCTTTACGGGAATGCTTGAGACAATCTCAAGAGATGAGGGAATAGAGCTCGTCAAGAGATATGGAGGCAAAATCACCGGTGCACCAAGCAGCAAAACAAACTTCGTTGTACTTGGAAGTGATGCTGGTCCGAGTAAACTTAGAAAGATACAAACTTTAAAAATTAAAACCATTGACGAAAATGGCCTATTTCACCTTTTAAGAACGCTACCTGCCAATGGTGGCGACGGAAAGGCTGCGGAGAAGAACAACGAAAAGAAAGCAGCTGAAGAAAAGAAGATCCGAGAAGATGCGGCTGAGATGGATAGAGAGGAGCGGAGAAAGGCTGCAGAGTTGGAGAAAGCAGAAAAGGAAGCTCAAAAGCTTGCCGCAGCAAAAGGAAAATCATCCATATCAGCAGCTCCCCGCAAAGCGATAGTGCCAACGTCATCGCAATTGTGGACTACAAAGTATGCACCAACGCAAATGAATCAAATTTGTGGTAATAAAGGTCAAGTTGAGAAGATCCAGGCTTGGCTTAAGGGCTGGGAAACTGCGCACAAGTATAATTTTCAGAAGAGGGGTGCGGATGGCCTTGGAGGTTATAGAGCCATCATTATCCATGGTCCACCAGGAATCGGAAAAACGACTGCGGCACATTTGGCTGCCAAACTTGCTGGTTATGATATACTAGAGAGAAACGCTAGTGATGTTCGAAGCAAAAAGCTTGTTGAAACTGGGCTAAGTGAAGTACTGAACAACACTTCCGTTCTAGGTTATTTCGCAGGCGACGGGAAAGATGTCGATAAGACCAAGAAGAAATTGGTCTTGATCATGGATGAAGTTGATGGTATGTCGTCTGGAGATCGAGGTGGTGTAGGAGCTCTCGCCAAAATCTGCAAGACGACCGATATTCCCATGATATTGATCTGTAATGACCGAAAGCTTCCGAAAATGAAACCATTTGACTTTGTGACATTCGACATGCCATTCAGAAGACCAACGGTCGATATGGTTCGTTCACGTATCGCTACCATCTGTCATCGAGAAGGCATGAAGCTCCCTGTCCAAGTTATTGATGCTCTTATCGAGGGCAGTAATAAGGATATCCGACAGATCATCAATATGATATCTACCGTCAAACTTGATCAAACAGCCATGAATTTTGACCAAGGCAAGGAAATGTCAAAAGCTTGGGAAAAGCATGTTGTTCTTAAGCCATGGGACATCACTAGTCAGCTCCTTGGTGGTCATATGTTTTCTCCTGCTAGCAAATCTACCTTGAACGACAAGATCGAGCTTTACTTCAACGATCATGAATTTACACCCCTGATGATCCAAGAAAACTACCTGAATACCAAGCCACAACTAGCCAACAGCTCCGATACACCTAAAGAGCACAGACTCAAAGTACTTCAGCTTGTAGACCAAGCAGCAGAGAGTATTAGCGACGGTGACTTAGTTGATAGAATGATTCATGGGTCCCAACAACAATGGTCTCTCATGCCCACTCACGCAGTCTTCAGTACAGTTCGGCCATCAAGCTTTATATCTGGTTCGATGATCGGAAGAACCAACTTCACATCTTGGCTTGGCAACAACAGCAAGTACGGAAAGCTATCTCGTTATGTGAAGGAAATCCAATCGCACATGCGACTGCGATCTTCTGGAGACCGTCATGAAATTCGTCAACAATATTTACCCGTTCTCTGGGACAAACTCATTCGCCGACTCGATGTCGAGGGCAGAGACTCCGTGGAAGATGTGATCGATCTCATGGACAGTTATTTCTTGACCAGAGAGGACTGGGACTATATAATGGAACTGGGCGTTGGAGAACAAGATATGGAAAGTATCAAATTGGAAACCCAAACCAAAGCCAATTTTACAAGATCGTAAGTCTCCACGAAGTCTTCTCAAATTTAACAATACTAACGAACCAAAGCTATAACGCACGTTCACATCCTGTTCCATTTATGAAAGCAAGTAACGCCTTCCAGCCCGCCAAGGTCGCCGCCGTGAAACCAGATTTGGAAGAAGCATTCGAGGAAGAAGATGACGGAGAAGTCATTGCAGAACCAGTCGATGACGATGAAGAGGCCGATTTGAAAAAAGATAAATATATTAAGCAGCCTAAGAAGAAGATGGCCAAGAAGCCAGCGAAGAAGAAGGCTAAGAGTAATGAAGATGATAGTATGATTGATGATGAAGATGAGGAAGAGGAGAAACCCAAGAAGAAGCCAGCCAAGAAGGCGAGTGCTAGTGCAAAGAAGGGCAAGGAATAAATGGGTGGATGGAAGACTTTGATGGGGAATTTTGATTCATCTCAGGGGTTGAAAAAAAGAGTTTTGCTGGAGAGGTTCTGGTGGTGTATAATTATTGATCTGTATGATTGTATCTGCAGGGTGCGAGAGTGGTGAAGGTAATGAAGCAACAGGACATGATTTGGAGTCGAAATGGATGAGATGGCCCAGTTAAGTTTATTCGCAACTTCTTGCACATATTCAGGTAGATTTTGGTACCCAAACCGAATGACATGTGAAATAGGCAATACCATAAATTTTAAAGATTCATTTAATTTTTACCTGGGTCGTTCATGTTTATCCAAAGCATTGTGTCCACGTGGGAGAACAAGGAAATGTGTAGTATGAGATATCGCTATCTATCATTTCACACCCTCATCATCATCTATATAACTTTTACAAATTCCTAACCTAGCCTTCCCATGAATTGACCTAAACATATCTCTTGGCCAATGGCTCCGGTTTATTGCCCAAAACATCATCAATCTCCTTCATGATCTCTGGGGTCAATTTCTCTCTAATCTTCAACGCCCTCACACTCTCGAATACCTGTTCCGGTTTACTTGCACCGGCAATCGCACTACTAACCCTCTCGTTCTTCAACACCCAACTCATAGCCAAGTTAGCCATGCTAATGTTGAGTTTTTCCGCAATAGGCATGAGCTTTTCGACGGCGGCAATGTCTTCTTTCCAAGAATCGTCGCCGGATTTAGCTCTCATGCGGTCGGCGAAAGCGTCTTTGGATGTTCCGAGACGGGAATCGGAAGGAATACCGGCATTGTACTTTCCGGTCAAGAATCCAAATTTGAGGGGGGAAAAGGTGGTTAGACCGAGACCGAATTCATTGTAGAGGGGGAGGAATTCGCCCTCAACTTTTTGGCGCGCGAGGAGGTTGTATTGTGGTTGTTCCATTATGGGGGCGATGAGGTTGAGGCGTTGGGCGACGGCGTGGGCGGCGGCGATTTCGGCAGCGGTCCACTATGGGGGGGGAGGTTAGTTCTGGGGGTGGAATGGAAAGTAACTTTGAGGGTTTGTGGGGTTTACCTCGGATGTTCCCCAGTAGAATGCTTTGCCGGTGTTGATGAGGTGGTTGAATGCCCGGACGGTCTCTTCCATAGGACAAGCGCGGTCCGGTCGGTGAGCATAGATGAGATCTACATATTCCAATTGGAGACGCTCAAGAGCGAGGTGGGTGCCTTCGATGATACGTTTGCGGGAGAGACCGATGTTATTCACAAGTCTATCGCCATGGGCTTGACCCCAGTAAATCTATTTTGACTCTTGTAAGCTCATGGGGTAAAAATGT